TCGTTCGATTCGTTCCTATATTTGATGGCCTAATTTATCTGGTAGTGAAACTCTGTTCCGAGTACATAAGAATATGTTAATTTTCCTCTTGAAAGACTCCTTAAATGTTACTTAGACCATCTAAGTCCGTAACAAACCTAGGAATTCCACAACCCCTAAAGCGTAGCACATATGCATGCAGACCATTTCGAATTTCTGGGTAATTCTTCTCAGTTTTGTGCTGAGATAGGGATCAATGAACTTTTTTCAGAAGATGACTGGATTATTTTGCGTACTATAAATCTTTGGATAGTTACCAGTGAGACACCATTACTCTGAATACTAATAATATATTCTGAAAATGATAATTACGGAATTCACACCAGTTTACAGGCATGATCAGTGTGATTATAACAGCAACATTGAATGTAGAGAATAAACATGAGATAAATGATTGTTTTATGATTGCTGGTTCAGTAATTGACATGAAATTTATATATGGCATATATCACGGCAAGCCAATTCAACACCGAGGAGCTTTTAATTTTTGCTTAAGTGGATAGCCTGATGATTTATGAACGTATTTCTTCGATGTTATTCACAGTGTCAGAGCGAGTTATTGAAAAATATCTACAACTAGAAAAAGTAGGATAAAAGCAGAGAGCACGGAACAACGAAAAAATGATTGTCAAAATATGCCGGTCAGGTTAACACTGTTCATCTTAGATAATATTCAAACGTGTTAGAGCTGCTGGTGAAAGTGTTAATGTAAAGTGTCAGCAAGTAAGTGGTTAAACATTCAAAGTTTTGATAATCTCACTTATGGAGTAAGATACACCACATGTCTCAGATTGACAAATTTAACCTTGATGTATTTAAAATATATTCTTTTTCATTAGATCAACTATGAAGTTAAATCAGATCTTCTTGTACTATGGACTTGTCATCTCGGTTGCAAAATGCTCTCGAAAGCCACACATTGTCACAGAACAATGGTTAATTAGACAATACTTGTTTAGGAAATTAATTGATGTGTATCAAAGAAAAGGGAGTTCTCGGTATTTATATTCGGGGTGCACACTTGAACATTCTGTTGCCTGAGAATGCGTAGATTCTACATGGACCTTAAAAGTTTGAATATCTGGAAACGATTTGAGGCATTCTGTTAACGGTGACCTGATTCCCAACAATCTCAGCATATCAGCGCGACATATATTATTGACCTGATGAAAAGCTTTTCGGATATAAAGAAAGACGAAACCAGCGTATCGGCCGCATATGAGCGCAACAATTCATTTGCGTTCAAGTATGGTTGTCTATCTGTACACTTCAGTCGACACGCTGGATATACGAAAGTTATCATTTCTCAAAACATGTTGTTGAGGTCAAACATTTGTGTGTTTATATACAAACAAACAAGACTGCATCATACCGTAACATAAGATAACTATAATACAAGATCAAGCTGATTGTGAGAGATTGGTACCAATAAATTAAGTTTGGTTCAGGACTGATAGATCGAATGACAGTAGTCAATAAATGTAATGGATACTCATGCGAAAAGGAATATGAATATACACAAAACAAAGATACTCAATATTTAATAATGAGAAATTATATTCATATATAATAACGATCCATAAATAATTTCTAGCGCTTACCGAACACTTATACTTCATAGTTCGCCCTATTATATTAAAGAAAGCTAAAACGACCGATGGTCAAGAAAACAGACGCTCACACGCGAGTCTGAAGTTTATAAACGTATGTTCTAGTGTTCCGTGCTAACACGAAACGATCTCACATTACTTACAGTTTTTCAACGGAGCTTTGGCCGTGATCAGTAAGTAATATGAAATGTGAAAAATCTCTAATATTGACTATATTTTTCAATGAACGTGAATTGTATTCCATTTGCCATTATTACATAGTCTGTGTGTTCACTGATTTACATCACTTTACCAAAGTATTAACGAAACATTTACATTTATAATGCTGTCTTCATATTGTCCTTTTGTATTTAATTCAAAGTCCAAAGCGTTGTGTTCTGAAATAGATTTAAATTGAGTATCTAAGAAATACACCATTGTCAGACAATCTAAAAGATTTGATCTGAACATTCAAGCTCAATAGAACAAAGAGGGTGTATTTGAAAATTTAGTGCTTTCCCAGTTGAAATCATGAGTCAATTGAAGTTGGGCAGTGAGTAGGTCTTTCCTTTCAGTTTCTGTGTACGCGTGACAATTTGACACGATTTCGAGAGTTGGAGAACAGTAAGAAGAGTTTGCACATAGCTCATGAAAAACAAATCCATAACTAGTTTGGAATAAATATTTCTATGTTGTAATACAACAAATTGGACCTGTCAATCAACAGCGTCAGTCAATTTAACCGGTCAAAATTGGATCAAACTTGAGGTATATTTTGCATTCAATTGATTCAACAGTATGATAATTTTACCAGCAGTTTAATGAGATATTTTTGTTTACAGTCATAGTTACAAACGGTGTTTATCTGTAAATAAGGATATTATATATAGATGCTGATCAGATGTCAACAGTTATTCCTAATTAAATTAACACACGATTCTGTAACTGGAAGAACGGTCAGATCTGAAATCTAGCTATAAACCGTTTTCAATGGAATGAACCTTGTAATCTGAAATACTACTTAGCAGGTTATCTTCCACGTTCAGTTGCTAAATTCAATTAAACTAAGCTTCACAGAATTTTGATTTCCTCCATCATAGAAATAAAACTGTTCGATAGCACTTCATGTCAAGTGGATGAACAAGTGGAATTCGGTGAATGGATTCGATGATATTTTGATAGTTGTTCAACACTGTATGATAATTCATTATTCACTCTTGATATAGAATATTTATTTCGTCATTGTCAATTGCTGAATTAGTTAACGAAATCACAAAACAGGTTGGTTATTATGAAAAGAATCTCAATTGTTATGTCAAGTCACATACATTTCTGTTAAAGTTGTATCATGTAATATGAGTACTAAGTATTCATTTCTACGTTGATAAGTGGAAACTGTCTAACGAATTCGCAATGCACAGTCATCTCCAATATTACATTAATTACTTGTGTATCATGACTCATAATCTATCAGTTTATCTGAGTGGAATTTCTCAGTTTCCAATCACCAGGTTAAAAGTAAGCTAATTGACATCCTGTTTTCGTGTGTAAACAAGCAAATAACCATACAAATAAGTGAAGTTGTACGAAGCAGAGAAATTTTCAATTTCAACACACAGCATTGTTATATGCAGTTGTTCAGTCTACATGCAAACGGATAAAAAGAGAGTGGATGAGTAGTTCATTGGCAATGTTATCTACTGTGAGGCTAGTAGACACAGAAGTGAAGGCATCACTTTTCACAGCATTACTTGTACATCTTACGACGAGTGCGTATTTACATGAATCCTGGTGCTTCACTGACCTCAAGGACTTCCATCAGCAGCCACATTACATATACATATGTATGTATTCATTATGAAGAAGATGTGTCGATCTGGACCACAGAAACTAATCTTGCTATCAAAGAAACTAAATAAATAGACATTGTCAATGTTGTGATGCTGTCTCATCTAACTTCAATGCCTTGTGGATCAGTCATTGAGCACATCGGATCATTTAGATCGTTTATCATTTACATTTCAAAGTGCTATTACGCATTCGTATCTAATGAATTAACAGTTAAATCGGTATTTCATTTCTAACCAAGTCACTAATTTCGTTGTTTTGTACTAACGTTAAATGAACCAAAGTTCAATGAAAATAATAAACACTTATAAGTCAATAAATGTGATTCAAGTCAATTGGTGAATTTCATTATAAATTTGTCTAGTTTTATTTTGATTGAATGTTGACTGAACATAAGAATAATTCTGAGTGAGTTTGTTCGTTTCTATTGAAGTGTATAAAGTAGGCCTGAGTTGAGATTTGTTGATCAATCGTATTATAGGGAGCAATAATGATTGTTTCATTTCCTCGTACATGCCGATTACAATGTAGAACTTTCAGCAAGAAGGAGCTCGACTAGTTTTCTTTTTAAACATAAGGATGATTGTCATGTATTGGTACCTCGTTGTACTAAAATATGGTGCAGGTGAAAGATGTTTTCATAATTTTTAAAGCCTATCAATAACCATATTCGTAATGACTTCAAAAGATTCATTATGCATTTCAAAATGACAAAATCTTATCCGAAGATCACCGGAAATATTAATGGACGACAGTTATGAATGGTAGATTATATGCCAGAATCAACAAATCTTCAATGTAAATGTCGAACAATGCCGATGGCAAGTAAAAAGCCGGATGAATAGTTTAATTGGGAATCATTGTCACATGAGAAAAAAAATAGAGAGCAGGGGAAAAACTTCACCACACTAAGATACATTTGACAATGTTTTCTTTACGGAATCTCCAAACACACTAATTTATGCATCACAACATGGTGTTTGAGTGTTATTCGTCTTCATGGCATACTAAGCCACCTGACCTATGAAAGAATAGGTGTGAGACCATCAACAACAGAGTATCGTTCACTGAAATAAAAAAACCTCACTCGTTTCAAGAGGATAGGATCAGGTGGAAATACTCTATCCTAATGTGCACAACGGGATCATCAGGATACTTACCAAGGTGTTTCCCATTGAAGATTTGAAGGAGATCACTCTTGGATTGTTAGACATTCACTATTTAACTACAAATATATCAGAGAGAAAGAAATGACTTAACATAAGGAACAACAAATTTACATTGAGCATTATTTATTGGGATGAATATATTGTTCAACGTTAAGTATCTTCACTGGTGTAAGTGAATTAAGTGATTGACTTTGGAACACCGTATGCAGTGAGTACCTAACGTGAATCTAATGGGATCAAGTTTCATACAATGAAAAAGGAAAGAAATAAGCATGCGAATGAATATTGAATAATTTGTGTTATCTATGTAATTGAATATATACATAACTGTATTGTGATTTCCTACTTATTTCAGTTGAAGTTGGAATTACTGATTGTAAAAGGTGAAATTTCAAAGGTGAGTTTTCCTCAAATTTTCATTACATGTAGTTAAAAGATGATGAAATTGGCATTCGCTGATATATCAAAAGAACCCAGTCGGAATAATTCTACTTGCATGTAAGAAATCTATTATTCCTTTTGACTGATTCAGATCAACTCAATTAAGTAGCCCACTTGTTCTCAGTGGTCTCATCCTAACGTAAGTACTATTTGTTTAAAAAACAGGTAGTCACCGTTAATCACAATGACGATGTTTGTGTGTTTCCTTTTATTACGTAACTTTCAATGAACTGATTAATACACTTGACTAAAAAATTTGATTCAAGTTAGACAGGAATATCATGTTTGTAAAAGATAGTAAAGTAGTTAATTTCCTTCTCAGTACAAACTATTGTCATTTTGTGTTACATCAGATCATAGCAAATGATCATACTGAAATGAACGTCATGAGATGTTTAAGGCAATTTATCATTAGATATTCCACTTATCGATTATTTTGTAAACTTTCAAAAAAGGTTGAATTGAGAAGTTGAGCATCCCGTTCACCCATAACAATTAGGTAAAACATTTAATGAACATTATCATGATCTATCGTATCTGTGAGTTTAGTGTATTGTACATGTTTTTGTTTTGTATTTCAGATTGATCGGTGTAATCCTTGGAATTATAATAATATTCATTAGAAAACTACACTCGACAACTAGACTGAACATTATCTTCATGGTTATAACCGTCAGTTGAATATAATTTTAAAATTACATTCATGAAATTTCCATCCAACTATCGATTGAATTTAGTGTAGATTAGTTCTCTGGATAATAACAAAGTCAACATGTCAGTTTGATAACAGCAATCTAGATAGAAGAATTCTTGAATGTTGACTTGAACAGATGGTTTCCCATGTTGTATGTTAACATGTCATAATGTGTAGAGATCCAGTTTCTATATTTTAACTGAATTCACAGATTTGTCGATGCATATAATTCAGATCATCAGTCATCAGTTTGGATATTGAGCTATTACTTGAGTGACACTTGGTAAAATAATATAACGATAAACAGCATCTGTACATGATGTGAATAATTCCGGAATATGTACAGGCGGATACACATAAACGTATGAAATGATTTGTCATCCACGTTTGGTGTTTTGATCACTCGTAAGATGTGGAATGAGTTGCAAACACAGAATAACTGAACAAATTACATTTTATTCATTCTAACATATGCAATCACCTACACACTTTGTTTGTCTTTGTACTTGTGTTTAATGATACCCAAGTCATCATTTGATGTTTCGAGTGTCAGTCAGATATTACTGGCTGTCGTAGTTGTTCGTTTATCCAACTTAGCATAATTCAAACTGTTTAGGTGAATAACCCCACATTTCGTGGTCATGTCTACTGGATGAACGAATAAACTTTGAAAATGTTTAAGGTTTGACAAAATGATTGACTTAAATAAAGATCAGTTGTTATGTGCTTCTATCCATAGATATTCATTATTAATCATCCAAATCAACCGAATGCAATACAGTGGAGATTAGCCTCTCATTATTTATTCAGTTGTTCACCTGTTAAATTTTTGAACTAATGGTAAATTGATATATTCGTTTCCCTATTCAGATGATAATTTTGTTTGTTGGTATTGCGTTACTAATGTCACCTGCACGATGGTATGAAATAACTATTTATGTACCTTTGGCTAGCATATTCTGCGTCTTAGCCTATTTTTTGGGCGTAAATCTACAACTTTCGAAAAAAAAGTGGAAAATAATCTTGTTCGCGATCTGTTGTGTATCATTAGTAGCTGGATTCATTCTTTGCGTTTTAGGGTCGACACTGAATAAGGTAAGTTCGTCCTATCACACATTTCCACAACCTAGTAGTAAGTAGTTTTTGTTATTGATTTTCCAATCGTTTACTCCAATAGTAACACTGTTCCCAACAAAATAAACCGTTCGTAATTATCAGGAAAATATTTCCAAACAGAAATATTCTACACTGCTTTATAGAATTACATTTTGAATGCATATTTCGTTGAGGAATATTCGGAACAAATCTTCCTTTTCTGATACAATGTTCATCTCTCTTGTATATTTATTCACACCATTTCGTGGTCATTGCGAATACAACAGTGTTTTAGACCATGATGGTTTCATCACGTATAAATTGTGAAATGGAACCAGTAGCCTTTGCACATGAATTGAAACTAGTAAGACTCTGTAAACTGTTACGGCGCTTACACTGTATATTCTCAATACATAGCATCATGAAAGCATCATGTTATCAATCTAGAAATCGATTCTCAGTATGATATATTATGATTGAAAACAGAATGGCAATCACAACGAAACCGGAATTGTACACCTTCCATTTTGATGGAGTTTTGTTCTCTGAGCTGCATGGTACATATTCAAGCAACGAGTTCATTGGCTTCAATGTTTCATCATACAATCATTTCAGAAAGTAATTCGTTACTTAGACAACTGTCAAGCATGAGACAGGATAGGTGCATGATTACAAAATTCAGAATAACATACCGACTGAACTCCTACATGAAGTGGTACATATCAGTTTAAAATAAGCAGTGTTAATTATCAGAGTCATACTGTGGCCTCACTGATAACTATATAGATACATGATGAATTGAAGTGAATTGTTTTCTTTCCTTTGTTTCAGCATGCTTTACAAGGTTTAGCCTGGATTTGTTGTTGCTGCATAATGTTTATTGTAAGTTTTGAGTAAATAATCAAATCTTTATTCTAATAACTGTTCGTCGAATGTTATGCACACAAAGATATCGTTCTGTTGAAATAAGGACTATGAAGTATCAGTATTTTCTATGCAAGTCATTCACAAGAATTCATCTTAAAATGTTTGAAGAAGACACCGGAATAACAGAAGATGACTGGTTGAATAGGAAAACTTGAGTGGTGAAGTATTTTTCGCTCAACACGAACTTTTGTCATTTTCTTGGAGTTTAGTTCTCTGAGCTGCCTTGTTTGTTCGTGCAGCTTCAATAGTACTTCTAATCGACATCATCAGCAAAACCGTCAGGTAGAAGTGGAGTGTTATAATTTCTCTATTTGTGATTCACAGCTTGTCCTGTGCACCTCGATGTTGATTGGTTCTTGTTTACCCTAAATCTATCATTGTTAATTTCTTTGTTTTGGTTATACATATTCATATATATTCATGAAGATTACCTATGTGACATCAAGTTCACAATGGAACAAGAATCGAAAGACAAATCATTATTCTTCAATATAATAATTATCAGAACCGACACACGTAAACTGGAGACTGAAGTGTTCAGGAAGACGACCCACACCGATCAAATTCTCAACTACAAAAGCAACAACCCAAGAGCTCACAAAATCAACTGCACACAAACCTTTTCCAAGAGAGCAAAGACACATTGCCAACCAATTACAACATGGAAAAATGAAGAAAATTACCTGAAAAACATTCTCCAAAAGAACGGCTATCCAATCAATTTCATCAAAAAATACCAGTCGCACCCATCATAAGAAACGAAGTCAAGTGTGAAAATCAACAAAAGAGGCCAAAACAAACATCATCTACAAAAGAAATTGTACAAACTGCGACAAACACCACATCTTAAAAACTGGATGCACTCTTCATGTTTTCCTGCATGAACATCGATTCGCAGTGAAACGCCATGACATGTCTTCACTCATATCAATATACGTGGATTACTACGGACACACATTCGACTGACAAAACGTAAAGATTTCGGACAGAGGCAAATCGAAAAACACCAAAAATGTTTTAGAAGCTTGGCATGCAGGTCAATCAGCAATAAACAAGCACATTGAAAGCAATCCAAATTATCAAGCAATCAGGATAAGTATGCAGAAACATAGGAAAAAAATAAAATGAACGGGATATATAACCAAAACAAATAAATGAACTAGGATAAATTTAAGATCAACAAGAACCAATCAACATTGACGTGCACAGGACAAGCTGTGAATCACGTATAGAGAAATTCGAACACTCCACTTCTACCTGACGTTTTTGCTAATGATGTCGTTCAGAAGTACCATTGAAGCTGCACGAACAAACAAGGCAGCTCAGAAAACGAAGGTCCATCAAAATCTCTCACCTGAGCTAAAAATCTTCTCCACCATCTCAAGATGTTCTGTTGTACAAATGATTATCTGTCAACATTCTATAGATAAAATTACAAGGTACTTACTGTTCACTGGTGATTTACGACTTTTGCGAAATTTCCAAGTCCATGAATCCACATCTGTAAATGCTTATTATTTCGCTGATACATATGTTGATATGGATGCATTTACATTGAAGTAACGATCTATCTTTTGACAATTACAGGTGAGTCTGTTCACAGCATACTATCTGAATGTGCAGAACAAACAAGGAGACTGCTCTATATCATACATATTTTTCGTATGGATTTATGAATATACCGCATTTGTCATCATAATACAATTTATTTTAAATTTACTAATCGATTGTACTTCGAACGATATTAATTCCAAAATGACAATGATTGCGCAGGTTTAATGGATGAATTTTCATTGAGTATCTATATTAGTTTACAAATATTCACAGATATTCATTTGGAGTATTGTGAAGATTTTTGTTAACTGCATTGTTATTGATAATAAATGTTCTGTTAAATAGATGTTCGCCTGTTACATTCAATTTCTGCTTTGAACTTATTCGTTCAAAATACGAACGGACATTGAAGCACATTTCGATTATACTTGAAATTAAAACCAACCAAATTGACTGGAATGATTTGTTCAACAATCGTATTTTCCAACTACTCATGTGTTGTGACTTTTACGAATAATTTATTCTTCTGTGATAAATTTTGTAAGTCTGACGCCATTTGAGCTGGTTGTTTCCCGTTCACCCTCTAGATAACATCCACCGCCTTATTTACATCGTTAAGTAATCAAATAATGTTGCTACTCTTATCGGTAGCACTCAGTGTCTTTCGAATTCCACATTCATTCGACATTAGGACGAACTTTGTTTAAAGTGAAATTTCGGTAAAATAACCTCCAAGCATTATTCTGTGTGTCGTTCGAGAGCAGAATTCATAAAAATTATTAAGAACAAAATATCTTTTATCTTACACAATGAAAAATACACTCTGCGGTACGTTTCAAATTTGCGTTAAGCTGACACGGTATTTATTATAAAGTGCTTAATTATCGTTGAACCCTAGTTTATTTATGAATAATAAGATTCAAGTAACCCTTGAAGAAAAAAGGTTCGACTGACACAAAAACGTGATCGAAAAAGTCCTATTTCTTCAGATAATAACAACTCTGTTTTTACCTATACCCCATGCACTGCTACTCCTGTTGCACCAGATAAGAGTGGGAGTGGACTCATTCCACACATGTTTCTGGATGACTCTATGTCTAACGTAATAATGAGTTCTAACTCACGAACAGATGGTATATATTTTATTAAGAGCGAATTAGCTGCTGTCTATACACAATTAAGTGATATGCGTTCTAAAGTGGAGTCACTTGCGGGCTCTTTATTAAAGCATAATGATCATAAACTAGAACTGAAGACACTGTCACTTCTTCGACTGCTGTTGTCAAAGGATATAGTTACTTCTGAACTCGAAGACAGGATCAAAGCGGAATCCGTTATTGACTCGATAGCTAGTGAAGTCCTCAAGCGAATAATCTCTCGAAATAACGTGATTACATATAATATACCGGACAAAATTGCCATTAAAACTGTAAGTAACTCGATACTAAAGGCAGCTTACATCCATGACAGTCCATGCCAGTGTATCCGACTTAACAAAAAGCATCAAAAATACTCGTGCCCCATCCTGTTTAGATTCGATTACCATTTATAAGCGGAACGTTTGATAGAATCTGAACAGCTAGTCTGTGCGCATACGAAGTTTAAAAACGCTCGTATAGTCTCAGACAAAACCACCAATGAAAGACTAACGCAAAAGCGTACCATGAACGAAGATATCATTGTTGAGGTCACAACAAATGTGATAGCGCCAGCAGCTGAACCCAATGGTGGAGCTAATTTATCTCATGTTAGTCAGTGTACTGATATACCAATGCAGTGTGTAAGTTTGCCTCTCATACCCCTAGTGGCCCTAGATAACCAGGACATATCTGATGTAGACTCTAATGTCATTCTTTCCAGTGTAATATCGGAAGCCAAGGATCGAACACCTGATTCTATTGTGAAGGCACATAAAAACACTAATAAATCTAAAAGCATATACCAATTAAGAAAGTAAATAAAAAAATTTCTGGTTCTAGATCGAATACCAAATTTATTTTAAACTGCTTTACGAAACAAAAGTATAATTTTTGAAACCATGCTTAACCCTACTCACCTTAAAAGAGGTTATAAGGACACACTTAGATCGAACGTTATACGGGACGGTCACTACAACCATCATGTAAGCAGGCCTACTATTAGACAGACGGCAATGAACCAACATGCCCCATGGTTTCCTCCATATGTTATAAATAATGAACCTGCAAGATGTAAAAATTTTAATCACTCCTGTATTGGGAAGATGGTATACTAGGTTATGCACCATCACTAATTTCGTTGTTTTGTACAAACGTTAAATGAACCAAAGTTCAATGAAAATAATAAACCCTTATAAGTCAATAAATGTGATTCAAGTCAATTGGTGAATTTCATTATAAATTTGTCTAGTTTTATTTTGATTGAATGTTGACTGAACATAAGAATAATTCTGAGTGAGTTTGTTCATTTCTATTGAAGTGTATAAAGTAGGCCTGAGTTGAGATTTGTTGATCAATCGTATTATAGGGAGCAATAATGATTGTTTCATTTCCTCGTACATATCAATTACAATGTAGAATTTTCAGCGAAAAGCGTACCATGAACGAAAATAACATTGCTGAGGTCACAACAAATGTGATCGCGCCAGCAGCTGAACCCACTGGTTGCGCTAATCTATCTCAAAGCCATCAATGTAAAGCTGTTATCAGTAAAAACAAGCTCAAGTGTGCAAAACCTAATCCACCCTTACAATAAACGTGCTAAATCAAATCAAAAGGTTGATATACCATGCATCCTGCAAAATAATAGTTTTATATATGACACAAAAACTATAGAGTTCTCCGAATTTTTCATGTCTATCTACAACAACATTCGTAATGATTTCAAAAGATTCATTACAGACTCCAGACATTGCCTTCAGCACTCTCCTCAAAATGACAAAACCTTATCCGAAGATCAACAGATTCAACAAATCTTCAATGTAAATGTCGAACAATGCCGATGGCAAGTAAAAAGCCGGATGAATAGTTTTCCTGGAAATCAATGTCACATGAGGAAACGGAGAGAGAGCAGAGAAAATACTTCACCACATGAAGTTTTATTTGACATTTCATTACCGAATCTCCAAACACACCAACTTATGCATCATAAAATGCTGTTTTTGTGTTATTCGTCTTCAGGTCATAGTAAGCAAGTTAATCTGTGGAAGAATAGGTGTGAGACCATCTTGTAAGCAGGCCTACTATTAGACAGACGGCAATGAACCAACATGCCCCATGGTTTCCTCCATATGTTATAAATAATGAACCTGCAAGATGTAAACCTTATCATCACTCCTGTATTGGAAAGATGGTATACTAGGTTATGCACCATCAACGCAACCTCAACATGCAGGCACCTGTCTTAATTGTCCACCAAAACAAGTACAACAAATTATTCAACCTTACCAAAATAAGCATTATTTTTTCGGCCTCCAGAGATTACTTGTTCCACTAGCACTACAATTCGCTCATGCCACAGCCCATGCAATCCAGCAAACACAATAAACCATAGTCCAGGCATAGCAAGATCTCATACCATCGATAAGGATGCTTTCGGTTTTTTTACAGTACACACTCCCTTTTTAAACTTATTACTCATAAACACACTTTCACTTCTGAACAAAATTTCAGTCTTGAGGACCTTGGCCTTTCTAGCCAAGCCCTCTTTTATAGTTATCAGTGAAACGTGGTGTCATCCAGCAGTGGCCGATTCCGAATTAAATACCCAAAACTATCGACTCTATCGCTGTGACTGATAAACCATGCGAGGAGGCGGTTGACTTATATTTGCTTTGGATTCTTTAACAACTAACAAAGTTGAAGATAGTATCTTGAATAGTTTACCAGAATCGATCTGGATATCAATCAATACCCTAAACCATTGTCTACTCCTAGGTTGTATATACAGAGCTCCTGATATTATTGATGATTTGAATGATCTTATTGTCAATGCATTTATACCCGCATCTACCCTAAACTTCAGTGCTAAGATTATCACTGGCGATTTAAATTATCCTGCGATTAACTGGAGTACCGGTAGTTGTCAGTCCAGCAATGATGAATTTTTATCAATACCTAATCTGTACTGCTGGTCACAGTGGGTTCGTATCCCAACAAGGGGTGATAATACACTTGATCTAATATTTAGTAGAGATATCATTCCCCTATCTGTGCAAGTATACAACGAGTTTGAAAGCAGTGATCATAGGATCGTAGCTTGTGCTCTCCCCATCTGTCCCTCCTACAACCGACCAATTCAAAGAACCTTGCAATTATAGAGACTATATGCATGCAGACTGGGACTTCTTGCGCTCACTGATCAAACTCTCAGACTGAGATGAATTCTTCTCATGTAATAGTCTGGCAGATGCCATCAACATATTCCATTTCATTGTCAACTCTTGCATAGACTCCTGTGCACCAAATAAGACTTACAGGATTAGTAAACAATACGAATTATATATAGCAGCTAAATGTCGTAATAAACTAAGACGCCTAAAGAAACGTTATTTTAAATCTAACGACTTCACGGCAGTCACACAAATAACAATAATTACGTGTAATAATAGTTTTATATATGATCCAAAAACTATTACAGACCTTTTCAGTGGTAATTTTGCAAATGACAAAGAATCCATAAATGGCTCTGTTTCTAGAGTTTTATGCACGACTGGTAACTCAATTAAATCTACCTCCTTCACATGTCTGAAAATTAGTAATGTCATATATAACCTCAAGGTTTCGAAAGGTCATGGAGCAGACTGGATATCGTCATTTCTCCACAAATATGGTGGTCCGAATATTCCACTACTTCTCCTTAAGCTGTTTATTCTCTCTATGGAATCAGGCTCTTATCCTGACCGTTGGAAATCCGCCTACATCATACCACGTTAGAAATCCGGAGATAACACTGACATGAACAACTATCGGCCAATAAATATTACTCCAGTTATCTCTTGGATTATGGAAAACATTATTAGTGACGAACTATCGAACTACTTATTGACTGAACAATTAATTGATTATTCGCTACATGGATTTTTTAAAAATCGATCTTGTCTGACATATCATTTTGACTTCTTTAATTTAGTCTATTCGCTTCGTAGCCAAGAATGTCTTGTATGAGTGCTATACCTGGACATTTCGAAAGCCTTCAACATGGTCAACCAGCAGCTTTTCATAGGTAAACTCGCATCTTATGTGGTCCAAATCCCGCTACTAGCCTGGCTTGATTCCTTCTTCAGCAATCACCATCAATTTGTTGAAATGAACTCTTCATTGTCGATAGCCGTCCCTGTTAGAAGCGGAGTAATTCAAAGTAGTGTCTTAGATCCTTTGCTCTTTTTAGTTTTCATTAATGATATTTGTAAGTGTTTTATTGTGGGTAAGTCTCTTTTGTATGCAGATGATCTTAAGGTGGTGTACTCATTTTGTTCACATGAGCTGATCAATATTCAAAATTTTCTCAGCACGGAGCTTGACAAGGTAGCACAGTGTTGATCTTATTACAGCCAAATGTGGTATATATATATATTATTATTATTATTTGACATTGTTTTCATTACCTAATCTCCAAACACACTAATTTATGCATCACAACATGGTATTTCAGTGTTATTAGTCTACAGAGAATAGTAAGAAACTTAACATATGTAAGAATAGGTGTGAGACCGTCAACAACGGAGTGATGTTCACTGAAATGTTTTGTTTTATTTATGAAATCGAGTATATCCTTTACGGTATTGTGATTTCCTGCATATTTCAGTTGAAGTAGGAATTACTGATTGTAGAAGGTAAAATTTCAAAGGTGAGTTGTCCTCAAATCTCAATTAGAGTTAGTTGAACGATGATGACATTTGCATTCACCGATGTGTTGACAGAAACCAGTGAGAATAATTCTACTTGCATGTGAGAAATCTATTATTCCGTTTGACAGATTGAGATCTACTCAATTAGGTAGCCCACTTGTTCTCGGTGATCTCATCCTAACGTAAGTACTATTTGTTTAAAAAACAGGTAGTCACCGTTAATCACAATGACGATGTTCGTGTGTTTCCACTTATTACGTAACACTCAATGAACTGATTAATACACTTAGCTTCAAAAATTTGATCCAAGTTAGACAGGAATATCATGTTTGAAAAAGATAGTAAAGTAGTTAATTTCCTTCTCAGTACAAACTATTGTCATTTTGTGTTACATCAGATCATAGCAAATGATCATACTGAAATGAATGTTATGAGATGTTCAAGGTAATTTATCATTAGATATTCCACTTATCGATTATTTTGAAAACTTTCAAAAAAGGTTGAATTGAGAAGTTGAGCATCCCGTTCACCCATAACAATTAGGTAAAACATTTAATGAACATTATCATGATCTATTGTATCTGTGAGTTTAGTGTATTGTACATGTTTTTGTTTTGTATTTCAGATTGATCGGTGTAGTCCTTGGATTAATAATAATACTCGTTAGAAAACTACATTCTACATCTACACTGAACATTATCTTCATGGTTATAACCGTCAGTTGAATATAATTTTAAAATTACATTCATGAAATTTCCATCCAACTATCGATTGAATTTAGTGTAGATTAGTTCTCTGGATAATAACAAAGTCAACATGTTAGTTTGATAACGGCAATCTAGATAGAAGATTTCTTGAATGTTGACTTGAACAGATGATTTCCCATGATGTATGTTAACATGTCATAATGTGTAGAGATCCAGTTTCTATATTTTAACTGAATTCACAGATTTGTCGATGCATATAATTCAGATCATCAGTCATCAGTTTGGATATTGAGCTATTACTTGAGTGACACTTGGTAAAATAATATAACGATAAACAGTATCTGTACATGATGTGAATAATTCCGGAATATGTACAGGCGGATACACATAAACGTATGAAATGATTTGTCATCCACGTTTGGTGTTTTGATCACTCGTAAGATGTGGAATGAGTTGCAAACACAGAATAACTGAACAAATTACATTTTATTCATTCTAACATATGCAATCACCTACACACTTTGTTTGTCTTTGTACTTGTGTTTAATGATACCCAAGTCATCATTTGATGTTTCGAGTGTCAGTCAGATATTACTGGCTGTCGTAGTTGTTCGTTTATCCAACTTAGCATAATTCAAACTGTTTAGGTGAATAACCCCACATTTCGTGGTCATGTCTACTGGATGAACGAATAAACTTTGAAAATGTTTAAGGTTTGACAAAATGATTGACTTAAATAAAGATCAGTTGTTATGTGCTTCTATCCATAGATATTCATTATTAATCATCCAAATCAACCGAATGCAATACAGTGGAGATTAGCCTCTCATTATTTATTCAGTTGTTCACCTGTTAAATTTTTGAACTAATGGTAAATTGATATATTCGTTTCCCTATTCAGATGATAATTTTGTTTGTTGGTATTGCGTTACTAATGTCACCTGCACGATGGTATGAAATAACTATTTATGTACCTTTGGCTAGCATATTCTGCGTCTTAGCCTATTTTTTGGGCGTAAATCTACAACTTTCGAAAAAAAAGTGGAAAATAATCTTGTTCGCGATCTGTTGTGTATCATTAGTAGCTGGATTCATTCTTTGCGTTTTAGGGTCGACACTGAATAAGGTAAGTTCGTCCTATCACACATTTCCACAACCTAGTAGTAAGTAGTTTTTGTTATTGATTTTCCAATCGTTTACTCCAATAGTAACACTGTTCCCAACAAAATAAACCGTTCGTAATTATCAGGAAAATATTTCCAAACAGAAATATTCTACACTGCTTTATAGAATTACATTTTGAATGCATATTTCGTTGAGGAATATTCGGAACAAATCTTCCTTTTCTGATACAATGTTCATCTCTCTTGTATATTTATTCACACCATTTCGTGGTCATTGCGAATACAACAGTGTTTTAGACCATGATGGTTTCATCACGTATAAATTGTGAAATGGAACCAGTAGCCTTTGCACATGAATTGAAACTAGTAAGACTCTGTAAACTGTTACGGCGCTTACACTGTATATTCTCAATACATAGCATCATGAAAGCATCATGTTATCAATCTAGAAATCGATTCTCAGTATGATATATTATGATTGAAAACAGAATGGCAATCACAACGAAACCGGAATTGTACACCTTCCATTTTGATGGAGTTTTGTTCTCTGAGCTGCATGGTACATATTCAAGCAACGAGTTCATTGGCTTCAATGTTTCATCATACAATCATTTCAGAAAGTAATTCGTTACTTAGACAACTGTCAAGCATGAGACAGGATAGGTGCATGATTACAAAATTCAGAATAACATACCGACTGAACTCCTACATGAAGTGGTACATATCAGTTTAAAATAAGCAGTGTTAATTATCAGAGTCATACTGTGGCCTCACTGATAACTATATAGATACATGATGAATTGAAGTGAATTGTTTTCTTTCCTTTGTTTCAGCATAATTTACAAGGTTTAGCCTGGATTTGTTGTTGCTGCCTAATGTTTATTGTAAGTTTTGAGTAAATAATCAAATCTTAATTCTAATAACTGTTCGTCGAATGTTATGCACACAAAGATATCGTTCTGTTGAAATAAAGACTGTGGAGTATCAGTATTTTCCATGCACGACATTCACAAGAATTCATCATAAATCAAACATATTCCAGATCTTTCCTCTTTATGAATTACGATACCTGTTCGTCATTTGGCTTTGGAATAATCTATCACCAACTATCCGTATGTTAAACTCTCTCTAATTGTTTGTTCGCTCCATTTATGCATATTGCTCCTATGAAAATGCATTAAATGCTCTAGTGCCTGTAAGTGTATCTTACTCCACAAGTGAGATTATCAGAACTTTAAATGTTTAACCACTTACTTGCTGACACTTTACATCAACACTTTCACTAGCAGCTCAAACACGTTTGAATAATATCTAAGATGAACTGAGGTAACCTGAACGGCATATTTTGGCTTAAACGGGTGTGAAATTCGAAATGGACTGCAAGCATATGTGCTACGCTTTAAGGGTTGTGGAATTCCAAGATTTGTTACTGACTTAGATGGTCTAAGTAGCATTTCAGGAGATTTTCAGGATGAAACTCAACATATTCTTATGTATTCGGAAAACAGTTTCACTATCATTTGCTGATGTCACACTCTTCATAGTCAAATATACCTAGTTTCCTACATGAAGGCATCGGTTATCCAATACCACTGGATCTGGAAGCGTAATAAACCTAAGCTTCTTCTATTACAGATAGTTGATGCATATCAGCCACTATGATAAGCTATGTGATACAGCTGTGAGGCTGTGCAGAAAGTACTCATCAAAAGTCAACTGATCTCTTTGTAGATACAGGAACAATTAGAGTATGACATTGGTGAAGCGGTTCATTGTGTAAGATAAGAGATTTTTTGTTCTTAATAATTTTTATGAATTCTGCTCTCGAACGACACACAGAATAATGCTTGAAGGTTATTTTACCGAAATTTCACTTTAAACAAAGTTCGTCCTAATGTCGAATGAATGTGGAATTCGAAAGACACTGAGTGCTACCGATAAGAGTAGCAACATTATTTGATTACTAAACGATGTAAATAAGGCGGTTGATGTTATCTAGAGGGTTACGATTGTTGAACAAATCATTCCAGTCAATTTGGTTGGTTTTAATTTCAAGTATAATCGAAATGTGCTTCAATGTCCGTTCGTATTTTGAACGAATAAGTTCAAAGCAGAAATTGAATGTAACAGGCGAACATCTATTTAACAGAACATTTATTATCAGTAACAAATCGCGTTATATTATTCTTAAGAAGACTTTAAATGAATATCAATGAATTAATGTAAACTGATGAAAACACTCAATGGAAAGTCATCCATTATTCTGGCCAAAACGTTATCTGATTGACAAAACCCCTGCTCCACTTAGACTGGTTGAATAAGTTAAAAGAAAATTGTAAAAGGGTGATAAGATTTCTAACTTCATAACTCTTTAGGAAAACATTCTTGAGAAAAGAATTCGGTTCTTCCGCATATAGTCTTTCCAGATATTTTACTGTGAATATAATAACCCGTCATTTTGAAAAAGCAGATGTTTAGTTTTCGATGTATTCATACCAACAACTGTTTAAGTGAAGTATTGAGCATTTACAGGTGTAGGTTCGATTACTTGAATTTACATTTGATTATTTACTCAGGCTTAACATTGTAAAACAGGCTAGAAGAAAAGAAAGAAAACAATCATTTCAATTCATCATGAATCTTCATAATAAAAAGTGATGAAACAGTGTGACTGTACTAATTAACTCCAACAAAGATGTACTATTTTTGTTTCCTTGTGAGTACCATTCTGTTTTACAATCATAATAAACGGTACTGACAATCACTTTTGTACCGACAATATACAGTGTAAAGCGCACACTGATTACGGTAATTTACCAGTTTCAATTCATGTATAAAAAGAACTGTTTGGATCTTGAAATTTATGCGTGATAAAACCGTCATGTTTAGAAACACTGTTTCATATGCATTGACCGCGAAATGATGTGAATAAACGTGAAAGAGAGATAAACATTGTATTAGAAAAGGAAAATTTGTTCCCAATATTTTTCAATGAAATGTGAGTTGAATAGAATATTTCTGTTTCGAAACATTTCGCTGATATTCATGACCAGTGTATTTTGTAGAGATACAGTGTTACGTATGAGTAGTTGTCAAATCAATAATAATCAATACTCACTACCAGTTTCTGGAAATCTATGATAAGGCAAACTTACGAATCTCATTATCACCGCTATAACACAAAGCATGATTCCAGCTATCGCAAATACACAACACATCGTGATCAATAGTATCTTCCGTTTTCGTATTGAAAGTAGTTGTTTCAGATTTGTTGCGACGGCTAGAATGACAAGCGCGGCAGTCACAGGTACAGAAATAAATTCTGCATACAACTTTACATGTGACATAAGTAATACATCACCAGAAATCATGATTATCATCTAAATACAGAAAAGGAAATGTCAATTCACAATGTCTTTTCACAAACCGAAGAGGTCAATAACGGGAGATATGGTGAAAGTTTAATCTCCAGTGTTGTGCATTCGGTTGAAATGGTTAAAAATGAGTATCGATGGATAAAACACATAACAAGGATTCTCTATCCGTATCAATCATAATGACATACTTAAAATATTTTTAAAGCTAATTTGCTCTTCCAGTTCACATGATCAAATTATGTGAAGTTTATCACCTAAACGGTGTGAATTATACATACATGGGCAAATGAACAACTTCGACAGCCATTATTGTCTAACTTTTACTTGAATTGTAAATGGTGACTTGTGTATCATTAAACACAAGTTCAAAGATAAACAAAGTGTGTAGATGATTATACAAATGAAAATGGCAAACATCTGATTTCTTTAGTTGATCTGCGTTTACAACTGATTCCAGATTTTACATATGGTCAAATGAACAAACGTGGATGAGAGTTCAATGTACAAGTTTTATGTGTTTCAAATTGATGCATAACATGGACAAAAGCTGTTTAATGTTATATTATTTTCATCAATTAACTGTCAGCTAATAGCTCATCATCCATTATGATCATCAATCATCTGAATTATATACGTCAACATTTCTATGAAATAAGTAAAAATATAGAAACTGGATCTCTACACACAACGGCATCTTAACATAGAACATTGAAAATCACCTGCTCGAGTCTCACATTCAAGGATTCGTCTATCACCATCACTGTTTACAAACTAACATGACGACATTGATATTATTCGGGTTAGCAATCTACACTAAATTCATACGATAGTTTGATGAAAATATCATGAATGTAATTTAAAAATTATATTCAACTTACGGTAAAAACGATGAAGATACTGCTCAATGCAGATGAATAATCTAACTTTCGAATGAATATTATTAATAATCCAAGAAATGAACCGGTCAATCTGAAATACAAATCATAAACAAGTACAACATACTGAACTCATGGATATAATAGATCATAAGCAATGTGCATCAAATGTTCTGCATGATATGTATGCATGGAATGGTTGAACAAGATGTTCAACTTCTCAGTTCAACATTTTTGAAAGTGTTTTAAACAATCGATAAGTGGAATATCTAATGAGTGATGGTCTTGAATATCTGATGACATTCACTTTAGTATGATCATTTGCTATGATGTGATGTAACACAAAATCACAATAGTTTGTACTAGGAAAGAAATAATCTAAATTTTTCTTTTTCATCGAACATGATATTCTTGCCAAGCGTGGATCAACCATTTAAGCACAGTGTTGAAATCGGTTCATCGAATGATACATAATACGTAGTAATATGCAAAAAATTTCATTATCACCAATCATGCATACCTGTATTATAAATATATATAACTTACGTTAGGATGGAACCACTCAGAAAAACTGGATCTTTAAAATTTTGATAGCTGAATCTGTCACGTGGAGTGATAAATGTCTTACATGCAAGTGACATTATTGTGACTGGTTTTGTTTGACACATCAGCAAATGCCAGTATCATCATCGTTTGACTATCTGTAATGACAATTTGAGGTAAGTTCACTTTTGAAAATTCACCTTCTTA